TTCTTTTTTTTTTAATAATCAGATTTATCCCAAGTAAGGCAGTAAAGCCACTAAGACACAAGGCGTTATTAGATGTAAAAGACTTAGAAAACAAAAGCATCATACATATTATAAAACCCAGGTTGTTTGTGTGTGTGTGTGTGTGTGTGTGTGTGTTCCTTTATATATGGGATCAGATTTCCAACATATTTCAACTGATTTCAACAAAACTTCACTTTTTTTTGGCAGGTAGTGTTTCTTATTGTCTTGAAAACTTTTTTCTTTATTTTTACATTCAGAATGCTTTAAAAATTCCATTTACAAGACAATTGTTTATAATAAAATTCTATTCAATTGGTAGACTCATAATTAAAAACAATGTTTTTGTTTGAGTTTGAGTTTGACCAATTTGTAAAAAAAAAAAAAAAAAACTAATTAAGACATGCGTGTCCATCAACCTGAAACAATAATCTTTGTCAATTTTATTTTTCAGTCTTTATGATGGTCGATATTTGATCTATCTCTTACTGTTACATCCCCCGGCAACGCCGGGCTCTACTGCTAGTTACCAATAAACAAGAACAATAGAAAAGTAATCAGGAAGATGGTAGATAATGATCGACATTGTGTTTAAATTTTTAAAGTTCAAAGTTAACTGGGAGGCATGGAGCCAGAAGAGAGTTCCACAAGTGAGAAATGCAAGAAAACAAACTGTTGGCATAGAACTTACAGTTACATCTAACCAACTCAATTGTAAATTGATGAGACCTTGTTGCTAATCTAGTATTGCACTTAAATTCATAGAATCTAGGTACCATAGTGAAGAGCACGTCTGAAGAATTATAGTATTTATAGAAAAGACACAGGGAAGCAACTTTATGGCAGTGGGAAAGTGCTGAGATGCCAGGTCAAGACAAATAATATTGCTGATTGTAAGGAACATTGTCTATTTGTGTAGATTGAATAAAGTGTTTGGTTCAAAACTGTCTGAAAGTTATCCAGATCAATAGACCCTTTAAGAAGCTGGGACCAAGTACCTTTAAATATTTTTCCAGTTGCACTCTGCAGACAGAGTCACAGCTGAGTTGCACTCTGCCCAAAGACAGAGCCACAACTGAGAGATGATAACTATATAATATATATTTTGCCTAATACAAAAATGTGGCACAAGACCAAAGGTGGGGATGAGGGAAGCTGGCAATCAATCTATCTCATCTTAAACTTAGCTTGCAACAATTACTAACCCAAACATACTACAGCATTCCTTACATCAAAACAACACATTCTTACTTACCATTCTTATTATAGCCACGATAATACCTCAGAGTCTCTATGAAGTCCTAACCTGTTCCCATATGTACTATTTGTCTTTGGATGGGGGGGGGGGTATAATAACAACATTTAAAAATGAAACCCCAATGAATATTTACAACATATATAATTTATATACAAGAAACTAAACAAAAATTGTCTCAGTAATAAATCCTTGCAAAATCCTTAATTGTGGCAGAAAAATCAGTTAACTGGATGGAATTAATGTGGGATGAGGTAATTAACTACAATCATTCAACCAAACACACTCTCATCCAAACACAAAATACACATACAAAATACATTCAAAAAATGAAAAATCCCTGCATCTTACCAGAGAACTGACATCTTTGTCACCTAATGGAGGAAAGGAGGGGGAATTAAACTAAAAAAGTGGGAACAGAAATAAAAAGAGGTCAATGAGCATACATCCCCAAGCTAAGTTAACTTGTTCAAAGAAACTAAGGATAAAACAAATCTAAACTTCCCTATTTTGAGCAGGGTTACTAATGTTCAACACAGAGTTCTCATTATTCTAAATGCCTAACTGGCATCAAAAGTCAACGCCTTTCACTTGATACAGATGCACAAGACTCACCCAACTTTTGCCAAATTCCGAAGGAAAAATTAATCTAATTGAATTTTTTTGTAACAATTTTTTTGTAAATGTACATGAAACATGTTGTTATAATTATAAACACATATGATTGCACTCTGTTATAATTAATTTAAAAATTAACTGTTAAAGCTAGTATGTTTTATCTAAGGGAGGTAACTTTAATTTATATAATTGTAATTTTTTAAAAATTACAATTTAAGTATTTTAAAAACATTGCTGTTATAAACATTTAAAAACATTGCTGCTATACTCATAATTAACCTTATTTAGTGTTGTTTGTATTTTTCTTATATAGAAAGCCTCAAGAATTTGAAGTTTTTGTTTTTTAATTGCATGGTGGAGTACACTTGTATTGTCAGTTAATTTTTCTAAATCAATTAATATTTTTCTAAATACACAGTCACAAAAAAATTAATTAATTAATTTTTTGTCTTAGCAATTCACTCTTGGATTCTTGGATGAGATTGAAAGTACTTGGGAAAATAAAAGAAATGAAAAAATTATGGCATCTTCCTTAATGAATTTAATATCAACATTAAGAAGTTGATCCGAAAATTCAAGAGGATTAAAATGAAAATGAATAAACATAATATATCTTTATGCATAATATTTAATTTGCATAGCAATCTTTAAAATCATATTTTAATCAATATTTTGTCTGTGTTATTTATTTCTTATTCAAATTTTAAAATTTGCTATATATAAACAATGTTTCTGTCAGTAATATGGCATTCATAATAAGCATTGTTGTTGTTGTTATTATTATTATCAAGTCACTGCACTACATCCATCCAGTGTTGCATACAGATCCTTGCCTGGTGCATTAATGTTTCAGGGTCATTAAGTGTGTATGAATCTTCAAGGTTGAGGGGCAAACAAGAAGATGCTCCATAGTTTGTAATTGCCTGCATTGGCATTTGGGATCATCATTGGCGACATATCCCCATTTCTGAAGGTTGACTCTACAGTGACCATTTCAGGCAGAACCAAAAGGGCCAGGTATCACTGGTGCCAGGCAGGAGGGCTTTTGTAAGGCTGAGAGGGAGTCTGTGTTCTGTATTGTTAAGGTGGCTGCATCACAGGGCCAGATGCTGACAAGGAGCTCTGTTGTTCAGTGGTTTGACCAAATGTAGAAAGCTGTGTCTTGACTTCAGCCTCTTTGTGATTGGTTCACAGCCATGGAGTGGATGACAAAGGTCAGTTTCCTGCTTCAACTTCTCAAGAGGGGACTGTCCTTCTGATGTAAGGGGGAGCGATACCACTAAGCAAGTGGGGGTCATCTACTTCAGTTGCTGGTGATTGTTGTTATCTGCTATTTCACCTTATTAAAAATTAGTCGAATAGAAACCCCCCAAATGAATAATAGAATTATTTAAGTAAGTCAAAATAATCTTTTTAATTAGATTAAACTGTATCAAATTATTAAAACAAGTGAAAAAAATAGTAAATTTGCTGTATTAATTTTCATTATTATTATTAATATAAACATTAGAAAATTATTCAAATTCTTCCTTCATCATCAGCTTTATGATATAAGGCTCCAAATTCTAGATTCAGGATTGTCCCATGTATTATCCTAGAGGACTAACTTATTGAAATTGTGAGTTCAATCCCTGAGCCAGTTGAAACAGGATTAGTAATAATGGGAAAATTAATCGAGATATGTCTTCTTTATGTGCCATGTTCCTTAGGACAGGTGATCATGGCTCTCCACAACATCCTATCCATTGTCATTTTTAATAAATTTTGTATTTTTGTTACTTATTCTAAACCCTATTCTATCATCCATTTACTTAGGCTCATCAAGTATGTTATATGCTGTTTCCCTCTGTCCATCTTGTTCGCCATCTGTCCTAAGTTGTAAGACACACCCTATAGATTGGTATTAAAAAAAAAATTGGGAATTTACTAGCTTACCATATTAATCCAAGTTGCTGACTCTACAATATCATTTCTCTTTCTGTCACAACAAATTATCACATTTTAGACCTATTGGTTATTATTAATTAGATTTTCAACAGTTTAGCACAATGTTATACCTGTTCATATTAGAAATAACTAGTATTTGCTACTCCAAGACATCTTGCTAGCACAAAATCACAAGTCATCATGGCTGAGGGCTTAAGCGTGCTGGCCTTGTTCAAAATTGTTGATCACGCTAGATAACATGCTCTTTCCTAGAAACTGTAACTAAGGTCTGCTCAGTAAAGTTGCAGTATAAACCACAGGGGGGCTTTGTGGGTGTTGAATAAACACAAATGTGCCTGAGCAAGCGTCTGCAATAGGGATTGGCTAGCTGCCCTAGTAGAAGGATATCCTCGAATACAAGTGGCCAGCTATACATATGTATACAAGACACCTTGCACATGGTGTGTTTACATCCAACTCTCAGCTTATGTTTCAGGGTGTAAATGGTAATATGGCTGGTATTCATAGTGTACATATGAAATGAACTGTCAGTCTGTATTACACAACCGTGGCTAGGGGATGAACATAAGTACCAATAGCAAGCTGCCTACTGGTTATAATTAATACTACAAAAATAAAAACCAATATATATAGTATGATACTAACAGGATATCAGTCAGTTAAGTGCCGCACATGATAGATACTCGGGCAATCATGTCTCTTTCAATCAATGACTGATGAGGCAGAAGATTCTTCCTGCAGTAGGCTGCCATTTCTTTCTGATGTACACTTGTTGCCAACCAAGGCTAAAGAACACAGTCTGTCCTGCTATTCAACCCATAGCTGGGGGGATGGATTCATACTTTTCTCAAGGGTATTTGTGCAGAAGTGAATAGGACAAACTTGACTGGAATTCAAATGGGATATATAGTATTTATTACATATATATAAATATTTATTACATATGAATGATAATTGTAGGCTTCTTTGTATCTCATGACTGGGATTCATGAGGGCTGGTAAACTCCTCTTTACAACTTGACCATTCAATCCCAAGATGCAGGGTGATTTTTTTAAGGTATTTTTCAGGAAAAAATGCATCTTAACATATAGGAAATATAGTAATTCTTATTACTATAAATGCTATATATGGTAATGTTTCAGTAGTAATTTTAAAGGGTTTATGGCCATATCATGTTGAAACATGGTTTCCATATGATCACCAAAGTTAAGCAACATCAAGCTTGGTCAGTACTTAAATGGGTGGCTGCTTGGGAATACCAGATGTGGGTGGTGTAATTGATAATGGCTCAGAATTGTTAATTGGAGAGCAGAGTTCTAATTCCAGTTGGGTTTGCTATATTCACTTACATGCAAATACCCTTGGAAAAAGTATGAATCTACCTCTTCTCCCACTAGCAGCTAGCCAATCCCTATTGCAGACTTGTATCACTAAACCAAATATTATCTCAAAAAAATAAAAAATTCTTACAATCTAAAAAAATATTTTTTGGTTTTAAATTGTCTGCAAAGTGTTAATAAGCCATAAAAAAAGGAATCAATCAACTATTTAAAAACAAAATAAACAGAACCCAAAACAGTAAAATTAATGTCAACCAGCTTAGGGTAATAGAATATATTGATCTCTAGGCCAGTTGACATTAACTTTGTTTAATACTATTGTTCACCCTATACAAGTCCCAAGAGCCATTTAAGGTAGAGGGTTACTAAATGGGGATGTTGTAAGGGAATATAGGGAGAGGACAAAGGTTGAATAATAGGATAGATAGGATAAATAACAGTTGACCCAAAAATTGAAGAGGTTAAGATCATAGTGATTGAGGAAGCAACCTTTTGGTAGTCTGTTCCATAATGTAACAGTTCTGGGGAAGAAGTTGTCTGAGTGGAACATCCTCCTTACTAATGGAATACAAAGGGGATGAAGATGAGTCAACCCTGTATTTGCAGTATAGCAGGTCCTAAGTGTAAAAAATTTGACTGGTGAAAGTAGTTCACTGTTGAAACCCCCCACCCCAAAAACAAAAAAAAAGCAACTATTCAAACATATGCAAACCCAATTAAAATATTTATAGTAATGATAAATGTGTGTATGCATGTGTGTGACAGGCTTGTTGTCAAGGGTGTGCCTAAGGAGACTTGTCACTACAAAAGTCATTAGCTACCCTCCACCTTCATAAAAATGATGTGAGCAAATTTTAGTCTGCAAATTCTTATTTACCTCTATGCTAATCTAAAATCTGCCCCTCTCCAACTCAAAATACTCTGCTGATGGGTCTGGTGTACATATTGTAAATGTTTGATTTACTACCTGGGAAGATTATTTTAAAATGTCATTTGCAAAAGGGGTGCTGAAATGGAGAGGCATAATTATTTAAAAAATGCAATTTTGGGCCATTTTCATCTTTAATTTATACAACTATGAGAATTGCACAAGGCAGCATAAAAACAACATGTCACATTTAAACACAAATATAATTTTGTTAAATTGTTCAAAGTCCTTCATTACCAACATTTTCATCATCCTCAGATTCTACATCTAAATCTTTCATTTCTCAAATATATTCGTTTAGTTTCCCTCTCAAATTCCTTGAGGAGAGGAGTGCCAAATTGAGCATTTATGGTATGTATGCAAACAAATTTGCAAAACGTCAATGTTCCCCATTCTATCAGTAAATAATTGTAATGAACAAACTAGCTTTAAAACCCATTTATATTAAGTTATTTCTCACCTCTTGCTCCTTGATGGTGGCCATGACCAAAACTAGGTCAGTTCAACCAGCCTAAGATTGGGGAAGGTGAATGAAAAAAAGATGTATGGTAGGTATGAATAAGACAAGGGAGGCTAAGAACTTCTGTTAAATTTTCTACTTGGAAAATTGGCCATTATTTTGTTAAGAATCAATTTATACAAAAGGTCATGGGTCAAATAAGAAAAAAACTGTTGTCAAGTGAATTAATTTTCTGTAGAATCAGGTTGGCCTTGGCTGATTGATCAACTTTTCTGGACGATATGTTTATTGCTGACCTCTATTGATTTTTCCTGAGTATAAGAAGAAAAATATTGATTTTTTTTAATAATATATATATATATATATATATTCAGGAAATTAATTTTAGATTCTCGGCTATAAAATGTACGTTTCTGACACTATGTACACTCCTGCAAAAGAAATAGAACAAACCCAAAATGTCAAAAATCAATTAATACTGCTTTGGAATACAAGAGAATATTGCAAAGACGCTTCATTCATTCAGTGTACCACACGTGATACACACTCAGGTGATCATTTATCTTTCGATAGATGACTGGTGAGGCAGATTTTTTCTTGCAGTATATTGCCAGTTCTTTCTGCAGTTGACCAGACACCATCCAATGCTATAGAACTTGGTCTGTCCTGCTATTTCACCATAGCCGGGATGAGAAGAAGAGGATTCATGCCTTTCCCAAGGGTATTAGCATGTAAGTGAATGTAATCGATTCGACTGGAATTCGAACCGGGCTCTCCAATTCCTCAATCCGAGCCATTATCTATTCTCTACTGAAGTAAGCTTACTTTCCATAATTGAAAATTTGTTTTCTAAAGAGAAATTCTCCACAGTACAATAGCATGGGTTCTTGGATTGTGAGTTCAATCCCTGGACTGGGTAGTGCAGATTGAAATAGAACGAGCAGTAACTGAGCAGTACTAAATAAGAACTAGATGATATATCCCGAGGCATGGTAAGTGGAATGAGAGCAATCTATCCCCATAGATTAAATAAAGGATTCAGCTCAAAATTAAAATTTTAGTATAATTCTTTCATGAACTTTTGTCTGAATTTCTGGGATGAGGAATTATCATTAATTACTTTCAGACTAATATCCTCATCTTGTTATTGTCACAATGATTTGACTATTGTCTCTCCCAACTTTCTTCAGGTGACCATTGATTTGGATAAGCTTCAGGGAATTTTGAACTGAATCCTTTATTTAATCTACATGTGTAGATTGTTCTCATTCTGCTGTCTATTTCGAAGGATTATCTCATCTTAGTGGATTAAAGCATTAGTTCATGAATTTCATGGCATAGTAATTGTGAGTTCAATCCCTGGGCTGGGCAGCAAAAACCTAGACTCAGTGAAAACAGAGTAAACAATAACTGAACAGTAATAGAAAAAACATGTCTATATTTTTGAGATGAGGTATTGTAACTATTTACATTGTTTGGATTGCTGTGTTCATTTTTATTGCAATATTCACAATGTTTTGGCTGTTATATGTTCTGACCTTCTTCAGGTGATATACATTGGAATTTCAAACCAAACTCTTTATTTAATCCACGGGTAGATTGTTCTAGTTCCACATGCCACACCTTTTCTGGATATCTCAGTTAATTCCCTTTAGTAACTCAACTTTCCAAGTTTTTGGGAGTTCAATCTCTGGGCTAGGCAGTGTGTACAATAACTGAGCAATACTAAATCAGATGCATTTTTTTTAGATAGTAAGAATTTTTTATATTTTTAGATAACAATGATTAGTGATACAAGTCCTATCAATTGAGGGAGAGAAGTGGATTCATACCTTTTCCAATGGTATTTGTGCATTTCTAAATCTGAACTAGACAAGATATCTCTAGACATAAGCAGTGGAATAAAAAACAATCTACCTAGTAGATTAAATTCAGTTCAGAATTCCTTGTAGGTTACCTGGATCAGTATACACCTGAAGAAAGCCGGAAGGCACAATGGCCAAAACGTTGTGATAACAACAACAAAGATGAGGATAATTAGAATAATACATTCCCCTCCCACTCAGTTTTGGGGACATTATTATTTGTATCCTTTACAGCTAATCTGTACTATACCATATATACAGAGAGAAATCAATGATTTTCTGATACAAGTCCTACTATTTAACCCATATATCAGAGGAGAAAAGGTGGAGTCATATATTTTTCCAAGTGTAAATGAATATAATGACCCCAACTGGAATTCAAACTCATCTCTCAAAATTCTCATTCTGAACCGTAATACCTTGCACCACCTGCACATCCAACATTACAACATCTGATATTGCAGAATAGTCACTCATCTATGTATTGACCAGGATTGCTTAACTTTGGTGAGTGGGTGAGAACTGATGCTTTAAAGTGATATGGCTGTAAACTGTTCACTGTTTAAGAAAAAACAAAAAAAAACAAAAAAAATAGAGACAGCAACTCAAACACATATAGCCAGTAAAAATAATGTTTACAGTAATAAGCATGAACATTGGATAAAAAAAAATCACTTAAAATATTGCTCTATATCTTTATATAAATAATGAAATATAAAATCAAGTACAAGGTCTGATCAAAAAATTGACTGTTGCTATGGTAACGAAGCTAAAGTACATAGCTTGACCATAGCTTGTGCAGCAGTTTTTGTTCAGGCATAACATTGCCAAGATCCAACAACTACCATATTCCCCAACTCTTGTTCCTTTCAAGTAGAATTTAATTTTTGGAAGATTTTAAAATGTTGAGGAAATCCAAGAGAATGTGATGAGTCACTGCTCACTATCCCATGAGAGGAGTTCAAGGAATGATTCCATCAATGGGAATGATGCGAGATAAAGTGTGTGACTTCAAAAGTGGACTATTTCAGAGGAGATTCATATGTATTGTAGTTTTTAAATTGATAACAAAAGTTGAATCAACAGTATTTAATGCAACAAATCGACTGTCAAATTTGTTGTATTTAACCAATTGTTCTGAAAATTGAGTTTTATATTCCTTTTTTTGTGCATATTAACATATAGAAAACCTGGTATCATACAAGCATTAGATTCTGAGAAATGGATAAAAATATTCAAAATTGATGGGTGTACAAATAATTTTATCGTTGACTGTAAAAATTGTCGGAATGTTCATTACATCTGATCTCTTTTGGCTATTCTTTTAGCCATTATCAAGGAGGATTTTTATATTTAACTGAATATATGGATTTTTTATGTATGTATCTAGAATTATATGAATATTTTTTATTTTCCAAACATCGTCAGCACATTGTAGGTGCATTTATAGTTGATGTTATTAAGTGTTAGCTTTTTCTTTTTTATGAATAATGCTTCCATTATTTTTAGCCTTTTTTTTAATAGAATACACAATTGTATACATATAAGTGGACACTTGAGTATCCACTTTTATATTTACATATGCTCTATCCCTGATATTGAGCACTTTTACCCATAAATATAGCATAACTTAAACTATATTTTCATATATATATATATATATATATATATAG